GGGGTATCGGTTTAAGATTTTTTTTTTTTTTTTGAGAGGTTTTCGCTATAGGGCGCATGCGCTCACCAGACAGACAGAGACACAAAGACAGAAAGCGAGAAATCATCCCCTGGGGAGATGGTCACGCCGCAATCCCTTCTCCTCCATTCTCCTCTCAGGATCCTGGGCACGCACGCACACATGCCCGGCCTGAGTTTTAAGCCACCGGGTCCGGGACGCAAACCACGGTCGACTACATGGGAGTCCAGTGACATAGCCATTATGCTAACTGCTGGTTCCCGGTTGAAGATATTTTGATCAACTGGACTGGGGAGAAATGTTCACATATTCAAATGTTCACTTTGTAAGCTAAATAATGTGATTAAATGTACATTAAAAATTTTAAATTAAAAAATTTAAAAAAAAATAACCAAAAAAATGGCCAAATGAGCTTAACAGACTATTCTTCAAGGAAGACATACAAATGGCCAGAAAACTTTGTTCAAAATGTTCAACATCCCTTACCATAAAAGAGTTTCAAATCAAAACCACAATAAGATACCACCTAACCCCATTCAGAATGGCTAAGATTAAAAAATAATAATAAAAAGTATTGGTGAGGCTGAAGTGAAAAGGGAACTCTCTTGCACTGTTGGTGGAAATGTAAATTACTACAGCCACTGCGAAAAACAATATGAAAGTTCCTCAAAAAACTAAAAATAGAACTACCATACGATTCAGGAATTCCACTCCTGGATAGGAATATACTCAGTTGGAAAAACACTTGCACATCTATGTTTTTGCAGTCACTTTCACAGTTGCTAAGAAATGGAATCAACCCAAATGTTCATGAACATATGGCTGTTTTAAAAAAATTTGGCACATATACATTATGGAATACTACTCAGCCATAGAAAATGATGAGAACCTGGAGGGGAGGCAGGTTTCATGGTGATTAAAGTGCTGGACTCCCATGTGGTCTACTGTGATTCAAGTCCTGGGCCTGGTGGCTTGCTTTCTCACTTTCCCTCTCTTTCTCTTTGTCTGATCAAACTGGAAAATGATAATAAAGTTAAATAATTCTAAGAAAGAAAGGAAAAATAATGAGACCCTGGTATTTGATAGAAATTGGGTGAATATCGAAGATTTAATGCTGAGCGAAGCAAGCCAGACTATGAGAGAGGCATTGTATGTCTCCACTTAATATGTATGAAATGCCTGCACTCTATGGTATAAAGTGAAAGATTGCAAGGCATAAAAAGCATAGGAAGTAACTATGGATACCAGTGACTGCATGGGAGGAGGGCAGGAAATGGGGCAAAGAAGGGGGGAGTTGAAGGAGGAAAAGGCAAAATATTCAGTGGACAAAATGATGGAAAATTATGTTGATAATAATGTGTAATTCCTTTGGAATAACATATAGTATAATCATACTGGGAAAATTTTATATGTTATATGGATATACACTGATTGACTAAAACACATAACAAAAATTAAAAAAATAATACAAAGGGCTAGAGATAGCCAAGATCATGACAAAAAAGAAAAGCTGGAGGACTTATACTCCATAGTATCAAGATTATCTATATAGGTTCATTTATTAAGACCGTATAACCATCAGGATTGGAAAATAGAGCACTCAAGGGGAAAAGAGGATCAAAAAAAAAAAAAAAAATGTTCAGTTGACCTTACAGTGCGATAGGGAAAGATGCACATCTGCATTAAGAAATCAGGAGCATATTAGACATTTACACACAATGTCTGCACTAATCAAAAGCAATTTCAGATGTTTTGCAGATCTAAGTGTAAATAATGAATAAACAACATTTTTAGAGGAAAATGTAGATTTTGTGTCCATTGAATATTTATGTATTTTTTTATTTCAAGAGAACATGTGCACTCATCAGAGTTAGATGAGGGAGTGGGGTATGTGGTCACTCCACAGTCTTTCTCCTCCATTTCTATATCTTGTTAGGATTTGGGCATGTACACAGACATGCCCAGCGTGATTTTCAAGCTACTGGGAATGGGATTTACACCACTGTCTAGTGTGTAGGATCCAGCTCCCTTGACTATTATATTAGGTTATGTACCTGACCCAAATTAAGGATTTTTAAAAACTGAACAAAATAGTTCTAATTGAGTAAAAATGAAATTGATGAACTGGATAACATTAAATTTCACAACTTTTGGTCTTTAGAAGTTATCTATAACAGGAAAAATGAAGCCACATATGAGGAGAAGATATCTCAAAATACCTATCTGCAAATGACCCATATTTATAACATATAATGAGCTTCTTCCCACAAATCAATAAATAAGAAAACATCATTCAACAGAAATTCAAACAAATGATGTAAAAGAATTCTATCAGAAAATAAAACCTGAATGGGAACAGATGTAGGAAAAGTTATTCAATATCCTTCTCCCCTCCCCACTCCCATCTCTCCAATCCACCCTTGTGAACCAGAGATATTGATCCATAGGCTTCCATTTGACCCATTGATGGTTTTATTTTAAGAGGGTGCAATCATGCACACAAGACAAAGAGAAAACATTCCCTGTAGGAGCCTGATCGTGCCACAATCCTTCCCATCCATCAAGAACCTTAACAGGTGCATACGCTTTTGGTGGTGGTGTGGTAGGCCATATGTGATCTGGCTTCCTTTCCATGGTGCTTGACTACTGTACTATGGGGATGGCCTAGTGTCATTCTCCTTGAGGGAAATGTAATTTAAAACCATAGCACTACAGGAATGACTAAATGTCAAAAAATGGCCATACCAAGAGTTGTGGAGGTTTCCAACTGTACACAGTCCATTGGAGTATAGATAAGTTCAGCCCCACCTGGAAAACTCTTCAACAGTATTTTCTAAAGCTGTATGTTTGCATATCAAAAACGTGGTATTTCTACCCCTTGGTAGGTGCCTAATAGACTTTGGGCTCACCTTAAGACAAGTAAAAAACATTCATCGTAGCACTGTTTGGAGTTGATAAAAACTGGAAACAACCTGAATGCACATCAATTATGAACTATGGTATCATGGATTATTTACCACCGGAATACATGAGAACTGAGGATGAACAGCTAACAACAGCACACAACAATGGGGATGCATTTCATAAACACAAAGTAGAGCAAAAGAAGCCCTACACAAAAGCAAACACTGTATGATTTCCTTTTCATGACGTTCAGAAGAAGGCAAAACTAAGATATGGAGTTAGAAGTTGATGCACGTCCTGTCTTTGGCCTTGGCTGCTTTTCAGGGTCTGAATGGAGGAATGAGGAATTCAGGGCTTTCATTCAGCACTCTTTCTTGAGCTGGATGCTGATTGCATGGCTGCATGCCCTTTGTGGAAATCCACTGACCCTGCGACTTAGGATTATGTGCTTCTCTGTAGAATGCTGAATGAACTTCAGTAAACTTATTACATGGAAAATAAACAACAGATTCTGTCATTATTTCCTTGTCATGTTATTGAGGATGCAAGATCCAGAGCTCTGGACAGGTAAGTCAATTTTGTAAGCTCCAGAATAAGGTATTATGTAACCCTGGATAGACTACAGGGGAACAGAAGTAGTGATGGAGGCCAAGCTATTTAACCCAGGTAAACTTGAAGGTGGTCTCAGATGGAGCTTTGGTCAAGTAGCACTGGTTGGCAGAGGCCAGTGGGCAAGCACTCTAGGGAAGGTAATCACAATAGTTATGGAACCCTGGTTGGAAAGGTTCATCAGTTCTGTGCTGGAATAGGAGTTTGCGTTAAAGGCTCATGAGCATTTGTATATTGATCTGTGAGCCGGTCAGGTCAGTATACAGTGTACAGGCTGAGGGACGCAGGAAAGAGCTCACCTTAGAGGAGCCCTACCAACTGCAGAAAACCAGCTTAAGGCCACATTAATTCAGGTACTCCTGTCAAAGGTCTGTGTGATCTCTGGGACTAAATACAATGTGATTTCTATTACCGTTTAATTTCTAGAGCTCTAGAATTCTTAAGGCAGTAATTAACAGGACCCTTTTGTATAGCTGCATGTCAGTATCATCATACCATTTGGGGAGGGCCAGAGGCAGCATCAAGATGGCAGCATAAGTAGAAAATTGTCTCCAGAAGAAGTTATTCTTGGAGTACTTGTACTCTTTTGTAGATTTGAGTATTGTCTCAGGGTCAAGAGTTCTAGGCACCACTGTGGCATTTGAATGTAGTACATGTGCAGAAAGCTAGCTAGAGTTGAGTGTGAGGTGCATGTGCCCTTAGAAGCAGAAAGTATGAAATTATTGATTTTCCTTACTTCTTTTTTAGGTGTGAACTCACGTGAACTACTTATTTACAAGAACTGTACAAATAACTGCACATTTTTATATCCATCTGAAGTGCCTCCTGCAGCCCCCAAAAAAGCCTTCAAAACAAACAGTTTCTATTTCGTTCGTTGTTGTGGTGCCATGCGTTGCAATGAAGGAGGCCCTACTAATACCGAGAGGGACTTGTTACCTGATTATACAATTGAGGAAGAGCTGACAGAAGGAACTGTGCACTTGCGAGAGTCAAAGTTTTTACTAAGCTTTGCCGCCACCATCTCTATCATAGTCAGCAGTACCCTGACAGGAGACCCTCCTTGGAGGGCTTGATCTTCCCCATTCCTCTGAGCAGTTTACTCTCCACTCTTCCCTTGAGAACCAGAGGTCCCTCTCCGTGGGCCTTCATTTGGTCCATTGACGGTTTAAGACAGAAATAAAATTGTTTGGTGAAAATATTCATGAACCTTTGTTTGCCTTTGTGTGCTCAGGCCCTCAGTGGAGTGTCTACTTAGATATGTTTTTCTCTACCTATGGTGTACTCAGGGATTACTTTGTGATTTTTGGTATTTGAACTGTTCTTTCTCTTTTACAGTGTGGGCTAAATATTCATCATGCAAATATGCCAGGAACATCTTGCTACCTTAATATCAGGAGATTAAGTACCTTATTTTAAAAATTTTGCTACGGGGGGACCAGCAAATGGCGTAATGCTTATGTCACTGGTGTCAACCGTGTTTTGAGTCCCGGACCTGGCAGCTTAAAACTCACACTTGGTATGTGCGTGTGTACATGCCCAAAACCCCGAAGAGGAGAAAAGAGGAGAAGGGGTTATGGCGGGGGGGTGGGTGGTGGTGGTGGTGGTCGTGCTTGCTTTCTGTCTCTCCGGTAAGCACACACACCCTATAGCCAAAAGCTCTTTTAAAAACAAAAAACAACTCCTGCAGGGTATGTGCATTTGCCTAAGAGAGAGAGAATGCACCCCAAGGGCACATGACCATCCTGCAATCCCTTCTTTATTCTCCTCTTGGGATTTGGGGCATGCACGCACATGCACTCAACATGTTTTTCTGTTGTTGAGCCTGGGACTTGAACTGCACTGTCAGCCATTTGAGATCCAGCTGCCTTTACCATCACACTACTGGCTGACCCAAAATTGAGCATTTTGATTAAAAAAGTTACAGGAGAGAGTCTGCATATGGGCTGAAAGAGGTCTCTGCTGTGCTTGGTCACAGGTACCATGAGGTCACCTGAGACTCCATCTGTCCTTTGCAGTTCTCAGGTCAGTGATGGTGCCGAGTGACAAAATGACAATTGTACTGAAGGAATTGTGGTTTTGGACCATACATTTTAAATCATCATAACTAGGTTCGAACACTTTTTTGAAAGAGGTTTTTTGCCTTAGGACTCATATGCTTTCCAGAGAGAGACAGAGATAGAAACAATGAGAAGGAAAGTGAATAATCACCCCTAGGGGATGGCCACATGACAATTCCTTCCCTGTTCTCCCAGGATCTTGGGGCATACCTGCACACATTCACAGGGTGAATTTCAAGCAACCAGCTCCACTGGAAGTACAAGTGGACATGTGGGAGCCAGCAATGCAACTGCTACATTATCTGCTGTCCTTGTCAAACACATCTTTATTAATAAAAATAAAGGAACCATTACAATCAACACATTTTTGTCAAGGAGAAATAAGTTTGTTCACTGCTGTAGCATAAAATCTATGCTTTGGATGATGAACTCCTGGAAAACATCTTTTGTATTCTCATTTTGGAAGTGTTTTCCCTGAAAAAAAAGGAAAGTTGTTGAGATGCTTGAAGAAGTGGTAGTCAGTTGGCAAGAGGTCAAGTGAATATGGCAGATGAAGCAAAACCTTGTAGCCCAATTTGTTCTACTTATGAAGTGTTGATTGTGCTACGTTTGGTCAGATGCAGAGAAGAATGGGGCCCTTTCTGTTGAGCAGTGTCGGCTTTAGTAGTTCCACGTTTCAGTGCATCTCATTGATTTCTTGAGTATACTTCTGAGATACGATGGTTTTGCCAGGATTCAGAAAGCTGTAGCAGACCAGAGCCTATGAATCAGTGACCATGATTTTTTTTTTTTTTTTTTTGGTGCAACTTTGGCTTTAGGAAGTTCTTTGGAGCTGATTCTCTGTTTACCCACTGAGCTAGTTATTGCCAGTTGTGATATAAAATTTCAGTTTTTAGTCACATGACACAATATGATTGAGAATCGGCTCACTGTTTTTGCATAAGAGAAAACACTTTAAAACAATGTTTTTGATGTTGTTTTTTAATTTCAGGTAAGCTCATGAGACACCTTTTATAGATGTTTTTCACCATTCCACTTTGTTTCAAATGCCAAACAATTGTAGAATGGTCAATATTGAGTTCTTGGGGAATTTCTCATGTAGTCAGAAGATCAGCTTCAATTATTGCTCAGTTGTCAGTTTCCAGTGGTCAGTGGCTTTGCTCCTCATCTTCAAGACTCTTGTCCCCTTTGCAAAACTTCTTGAACCACCACTGCAATGTACGTTCGTTAGCAGTTCCTGGACCAAATGTGTTGTTGATATTGTCAAGTCGTCTCCTCTGCTTTACGACTCATTTTGAACTCAAATAAGGAAACCACTCAAATTTTGCTTTTTGTTTAACATCATTTTCATATCCTAAAATACATATAAAGAGCAGGTAATGTCATTAGAAAAAAAATGTGCATAAAATGATGTATAAGAAATCACATTTATTTAACAATATATTCAGTACCTTTTTTGCCAAGATGGTGCCGAAAGTGAAGAAGGAAGTTCCTGCCCCCTCCAAAGCTGAAGCTAAAGTAAAAGCTTTGAAGTTCAATAAGGCAGTGCTGAAAGGCATCCACAGTCATGAAAAAGTGAAGATCCGTACATCACCCACCTTCCGGAGACCCAAGACTCTGTGACTGCAAAGGCAGCCCAAATGTCTTCATGTAGTTGACCATGGTTCAAGTCCCGGACCCGGTGGCTTAAACTCATGCTGGGTGCATATGTGTGCGTGCCCAAGATCCCAAGAGGAGAATGGAGGAGAAGGGATTGTGGCCTTGCCATCCCTCCGGGGGGTGATTTCTTGCTTTCTGTCTCTCTGTCTCTCTCTGTCTGGCTGGCGAGCGCATGTGCCCTATAGCAAAAACCTCTCCAAAAAGAAAAAAGGAAGGAAATAAATGAACGTAAAAGCTGGCTCTTTGAAAGTATAAACAAAATCAATTTACCACTAGTGAGACTTATTAAGAAGAAGAGAGAAAGGAACCAGGTGAATCAAATCTGCAATGAAGCAGGCAATATAACAACAGACATAGTAGGAATACAAAACATCATTAGAGGATACTGTTAACATCGTTATGCCAAGAAACAAAACAATCTGGATGAGATGGACAGATTCCTAGACACATATAATCTACCAAGATTGAGCCAGGAGGATATAGAAAGTCTGAATAGGTCCATAACAAGCCAGGAGATCATATCGGTTATAAATAACCTCCCAACAAAGAAAAGCCCTGGCCCTGATGGCTTCACCTCTGAATTCTACAAAACTTTCAAAGAAGAGTTAGCTCCCATTCTGCTCAAGTTATTTCTGAAGATCCAGAAGGGTGAAAGTATCCCTAATTCATTCTGTGAAACCTCTATCACCCTTATCCTTAAAACAGATAAGGACAAGACAAGGAAGGAAAACTATAGACCAATATCTCTGATAAATATAGACGCAAAGATTCTCAACAAGAAACTAACAAATCGTATCCAACAACTTATAAAAAAGGTTATACATCACGATCAAGTAGGCTTTATTCCAGGAATGCAAGATTGGTTCAACATACACAAAACCATAAATGTAATACACCATATTAATAGGAAGAAAGATAAAAACCATATGGTCATATCAATTGATGCACAAAAAGCATTTGATAAGATACAACATCCCTTCATGATCAAGACTCTTCAGCAAAATCAGCATAGAAGGGTCATTTATGAACACAATAAAAGCCATCTATGAAAAAACCCAGAGCGAACATCATCCTGAAAGGAGAAAAGCTGAGAGCTTTTCCACTAAAAAGGGGTACAAGACAAGGATGCCCACTTTCTCCACTCCTTTTCAATATAGTACTGGAAGTCCCCACCAACACACTCAGAACAGAGGAAAAATTAAAAGGCATTCGAATAGGAAAAGACGACGTGAAACTCTCTCTATTCGCAGATGACATGATTGTTTCAATAGAAGATCCAATGGTTTCCATGAAAAAAATTCTGGAAGTAGTACATACATACATACAGTAAAGTTGCAGGGTATAAATCAATATACAGAAATCAATAGCATTTCTATATATGAACAACAGGCAGACTGAGATAGAACTGAAAAAAGTTATTCCATTTACCATAGCCACCAAAAGTATAAGATACTTAGGGATAAATCTAATCAAAGAAGTTAAAAACCTCCACAAGAAAAACTACGAGAAGATAAAAAAAAGAAATTGAAAATGACACAAAAAAGTGGAACGACATCCCATGCTCCTGGGTTGGAAGAATTAATATAATCAAAATGGCAATTCTACCCAAATTAATCTACATATTTAATGCAATGCCAATCAAAGTACCAGACACATTCTTCACAGATCTAGAAAATACAATCATAAAATTCATCTGGAATAATAAAAGACCCCATATTGCCAAAGCAATTCTACGCAAGAAGAGTGGAGTGGGTGGCATCTCACTCCCTGACCCAAAAATACATTACAAAGGTGTAGTAATCAAAACAGCATGGTACTTGCACAGAAACAGACATGTGGAACAATGGAACAGAATAGAGTCCCCAGAAATAAATTCCCAAACATACAGTCAACTG